GGTTGTAGACAGAAGAGAGATTTACATCCACTCTCCAATTAGTTTAAACCATTTTCAACAACTACAAACACAGTAACGAGGAGAGGATCACATTCATCAATATTGTGGGGATCTGCCCATGTATAAATTATTTCCCTGGGCTGAGAAAAAATGCCTCTCTTGCAGGAAACCATGCAGTTAAACCAGTTTAAGTGTACTGTAACTCGGCTAAAATGCTTTTTTTCCTCCTACTAAATGATTTGGAAACAAGTGCTGATATATTTTTTTCTTCTGACCTACTTCTTATTACATTGCATTAAACAAGATTAAGTATGCATTTGCATCAGCAACAACATTTCACAGTCAAATGCTGGATGACAGAAAGAGCTAGCTTACCTTCTCTCCAATTCCATGCCATGAATCAGTGAATTAATTTACCAGTGGATGTGGAGAGCAATGTCATCAAGCCTGTTTTATAACCAGCCATCAGTGGTGTGCAGTGAAATTCTTGTAATGAGCAAATCCATCAGACAAACAAACTGCTGTGAAATTCGAGCATTGTAGAAAGTAGAATTAAAAGTCCCAATCCCAATTCCTGAAGGACGGTACCTGCCAGGATTGACTTACATGATTTTATTTTTTTGGGACACTTCATGACCTATTATAAAAAGTTCTTTTATTCATGTGAATAGTTCTTGTGATACTCAGTAAAATAACTTACACAGATAAGAAGTACTTGCTTGAGTAAGAGCTACAGAATTGGATCCTGTGGGAATGACTTCCTCAGGGGCTCCTAAAGAGTCCATCATTCTTAGGGAAAATCTTAGACTTAGTTGATTAGAAATAGTGCAAAACCATGTACTATTTGTAAATATTTACTATCACTTAATATATATCTACCTATAGTAAGCATCATTCTCAGAGTTATTGCAATTGAGCCTGAAGCCAGAGAAAAGCTTACACCTTTCAGCTGACTGCCACAGAGGCCTTGAAGTGAATGGATAGCACAAGTCAGTCATTTAGCAAAGGCAGAGAAGTCACTGGTGCAGCTGCATGACAGAGAACGGAAAATCGGTACACACTAGAATCAAATTTTCTTTTGGAGCTGTCCAGCACCTGAGTGTGAACTAAAATACCTGATATCCAAAGTGGACTGTTGTATGGTAATACATTAAAACTAGGGGGAAAAAGAACCTCTTCACCTCAGTATTTTTTAATGTTTAAAAAAAAATTGTAATAGTATTTATCAGATAGAGCACTATAAAGAAAACCCTAAGCGTGAGCATTTGGTCAGTCTGGCAACACCAAGGGAAGGCTCACTGAGGAAGGTAACTGTGCTTAAAATAGAAATTGTCTCTGAAAAAAAAAAAAAAACTATAAACTATTTTACAAATGGATTGGGATGAACTTAATTCGTATGTGTTTATTAAACTCAAAGACCACGGCCTAGAAGTGTGAAAAGCACCTGTTGCTTGTCAAAAATCAAGACAATCTGACATCAGAACTGTTGGAGTGTGAAGCAACCTACAGGGATTGGCCCACAATAAAGATCTTCAGAAAAAGTAATGAATGCAAAGGGGCTCTGAGGGGCAGACAGGACTCTAAGATGTCATGATGGCTTAATTATCATGTCCCCACTGACTGAAATCAGTAAAAATGCTGCAAGATTTTTGCTTGTGTTTTGCAGTTTAATTGTAGTCTTTAAGCTCTGAAAGACCAATTCACAGTAGTTCCAACTATCAGAGCCAGGGAATTACCAAAACTGACAATCTGAGTACATTAGGCTGTGTACTTACCATTAGTAGCATTCATCCTTCTGTGCCTTCGTTGATGAACATATTCCTGGCTCCCAAAAGTCAGCTGCTGCTGTTACAGACAGAGCTGCAAGTGGCATTCTGTATTTCATAACCCCGAGCTCAATACCCATTATTGTTCCTTTTGGCAATTTTAAAGTTGTGCTTTATTTAAATAAGCTTTTCTTCATTGAAATAACTGTAACAGACGTTTTATGTTCTATTTGTTTTGCTATTTAATAACACTGAAGAGAGATACTAAATTAACTCCCCAAGTAGCATATTTCTAGGGTGAAACTAAACAAGAAGAAATCAAAGCATATGTCCAAGGGAAAGTCAAGCATGCATTCAAGGGACAGACAGATTGGCAGTGCTGCCTTTATTGATTCTTTACATGATGTCATTGCTTGCAACAAAATGTGTGCATCACATTCCCGAGCTTGGCAGGGCACCTGTATGCATTATCACATTGGTGATAATGGAGTTTGATTAATACTAAAAGGTATGGATAACTTATCTTCATTCTCCTGAACCACAATTCCCTGTATCCCTCTAATATTAATACATTTTTATGTATCACTGATCCTTGTCTGCTCTACAGATTAATATATATCACAATTAAAAGTGTTACTGGAGAAAGGTATTGGGTTGCAAGGCTACAATGAAATTTACTGTTCATTAGAGAACAGTAATAATTTGTTTGACAAAATGAAGAATATTTCTAAAAAATTCTTGTTAGCAATTCCTTGAAGTTGGGTCATGGAAACTTCATTACACTACACACACTTTGATAAGTATTGTTTTGATAAACAATGTTTCTTCAAAAAATAGTAATAATAAAAAGATTATATAGTTTAAAGCTTTCTGTATAGTGAGCAAATAAGCCCAAGCAGTGTACAAATTCAGTAGTGAAATATCTGTCATGATTTTTGCCTTGCTTGTCATCATTAACAGAATGATAGATCCACCCACGAGTCACTAACACCATGACAAACCGTGTTATGCCAGGATGACAATTTTTCTCATCTAAATGAAAAAAAAAAAGTCAAGAAAATATCACTGTTCCCAGACTGAAGTCTTCTGACAAAACAAAGCTAATGACACCACAACAGTCTTTCTCAACAGATACCTTTTACTGTAACTTTGATTTGGGAAGCATTTTTTGAGCACAGGAAATTCTCCAAATCATGAATAGCGTTCTCAGCACTGATTCTATTCTCTGCTTTCCAGGTCTGGATATGTGGAGTTTTTTTGATTGTATCTCCATTGGAGAACTGAACCATTTTGAACTGAACTAGTGGGGCAGAACATATTTGAGTGTGAACTTGAGAACTTGGGCTCTGTAACGATGTAGGATTCTTCTGTCTATACCACACATCTTTGTCCAGAGTACCTTGTGACCCACACATGAAAAAAAAAAAAAAAATGATGCTATTTGAACTGCTTTTAGCAAAGCTAAACACTACCTAGGTTGAATTATTTCAGCCTGGAGTAAGTTCTAACAGAGGGCTTGGTTTTTCAAACTGCTGAGATAGTGGAGTTAAAGGTGCTTGGTATCTCACACAGTTAAATTCAGAGATGTCAGAAGACAGGCTGACATGAGAAGATTGATGATGTCAGAAGATAGGCTGAATTATACCAAAAAGTGTTTGTTACGTGTATTGGGCTATTATCCTATACAAAGAGAATTTGTGTTAAAAAACCAAAAGTCAATAGAGATTGAGCCAGTGAGAAAAGGTAGGCTGAATGTTTACACTGATACCTCAGGCAGATAAAGCATGAGCTCACAGTTAGAAAAGTGGTCAGTTTGACATAGTTGACACTTCCATTCCTGCACCTTTAGGCTGAGCTGTTGCTCTGCACATAGCTGAGCCTGAGCTCCCTGTGAGGAGGATTGTGTCACTGGCACGACGAGGTCCTCTTGGTCTGCAGCGTGGTTATTCTCAGAGCTCTCAGCTCTCCATTTTGCAGAAAAGGAGCAAAAGCTCTGCAGCTTGTGCAAGGCAGTTCTGGAGATCTGTGGAAAAGATAGGATGTGCCAGGTTTCCTGCTTCCTTTCTGACCATTTGACTGTCCTTTCTCCCAGACCTGACTGGGAATGCTCATCGTATGTTGTCAAAGAAATAACTGGCAGTAGCTAGAAGATTACCAGCAATTACTGGCTAGCCTTACCAGCTGCTGTTGTTGCTTTTTGAAATCAACATAAAGCATTTTCAGATCCCTGCAGTGCACTTCCTTGGTTTCTTAGCTGTGCTAAGAGGATCCCTACAGTGTGCTTCCGTTGTTTCTTAGCTGTTCTATGAAACCCTGACAATCCATATCTCTTCTCTGCAGTGCCATCCTGCCAGTGCTGTCCTCCCAGTGCATGTATATATGCATCTCCTTCCGAGGCACAAATACACATGTGGTTCTGTTCTCTTTGCACATCTTTTTCATTCCTTCACTTAATTTATTCATGCCAGTTTGTCATCAAGTATCATATTTCTGTCCATTCATTATTTAGTGGACAGTAAGGAAATGGTATAACACAGAACAAACAGCACAGCACGAGGAAAAAGTACACCAGCAAGTTGGTGGACTGGGTGGTCATATGTGGAAGGCTAGAGGAGGTATTCCAGTTTAGGCCTTGCCTTGTCAGATACTACTGCTTATTAGGGGGCTGATTCTTCAAGCACTTTTGTGCCAAAATCCCACAGATACAGTCAGTTCGTATAATGAGGACTTGAAATTTTGGGTCTTTGGAGAACAAGGTTTCCTTTAGCTAACTGAAAAGGTGCCCCGGGCCTCTCTTCAGTCTCTGCAGATGCAGTTGTAGGTGACGGTTCTGTCAAGACACTGAATGACACTAGGCTGCAGGCCTGTAATTAGCACTGCTGATGTGAGTGAACCTGCTCACAGGTTTAAAATCAAGCATATGTACCATCATTGAGAGGATCAGGACCTGAACTGATATGCTCTGTGTATGTGTGTGTTGTGCACGCTCTCCCTCAGTGCCAAGGTAAGCACTTCTGCTTCCACCAGTGTTTTCTTTTGGCTGAAATAACACAACTGAAAAGTCCTAAATGTGTATGGGAATGTTAAAAGCTACAGTAACCTGTTAATAATTTAGAAAAGCAATATACCTCAAATTGAATTGTACCTTTAAAACATTGGAAGTTGTTTGCCACAACTTTAAAATGTCTATTTTTCATTTTTCTCCTATGTCTTACCTCCTGATGAATTGGAAAGGTGGACAAGATGGCCAGTCTCTACAACATACATGTCCGCACAGGTTGTTTCTGTAACACAGGAGCCTGCCAGATGCATTTGGATATAAGCAATGAGGACATCCAGAGGAACCTGCAGGTTAGTTTCTGAAAGAGATTACATGATATATTGCCCATGGAAAATAGCTAGATTCAATGACCCAGAAGATGTCTTTTGGCTATCAGTTCTGAATTTCCTAAGGATGGGAGGTTTGAAGGGGAAAAGAAAATCTGGCTCTGTGTCAAAAAAAAACCCTAAATAGTTAAAAGCTGAAGCAGGTGTATCATGTCCTGTGGTTTTGAGTCTTTGCCACTTTAAGAATGAAGGTAAATTTGATTTGCTTTCTCTGACTTTTCAACTCAATTGCCATGCTAAATAACTAAATGAACTGAAATTTAATTAATTGAAAATGGGGTGTTAAAACAAAATCATTTGTTGGACCCAAAGCAGTATGTGTTCCTTGTTTGTATTTCATCGGAAAATAAGAAATTTTGGCTTCTTGTTCTGATTTGGAATTGTATGAAATCCAGACTTCCTGCAGAACATAAGTTCCTGGACAATTCATCTCATGTTGTTCCTTAAGTATTCTTAATTGTACTTAATAATGTTCAAGTATTGTAAACTCATTGCTGTTGGGTGTTACAGTTTAAAAGGCATATACAAATTGGACAAGAAACAATAAATGAGACTACACAGGGAATCTCAAGAGTGTGAAGTACATTTAGATGACATCTGCCTAGATTACTGGTGTGTTAGATTATTAAAACATGAATGTAAAGACTGTTTTCTAGATGACTAATATTTTTCATAAATTGTCATTAAAAGATGTGCAGCAGCATGTATTACAATGAAGTGGGGGAGGCTTCATGTCTGCGTATTTGTCAGTTTGAAATTACAGTAAATACAGAACAATCTGAAATTTTCTTAATGGTATTATTCAATAGATAAAAAAGTATAACAGCTGTATTGATATTGTAGCTCCCTTATTTCACAGAGACATTTAGATTATTTTTACAAACACATTTATATGCAAGATTGATAGCACAACTTCTTAAAGGGGAAGACCTCTTTAATACCTACCTTGGCAAAATTTACCATGGAAAGCTCCACATCCATAGTCTCCTCATGCATAATCTGTCTAAGAGCAGGTGAATGATATTTGAATTTTCAAGGAGGGGCAGGTTCCCCAAGATACTCTGAGAAAGCAAAAAAAGGTCTACTCTTCTGCTGGAGTGCAAAATGCCAAATGACCAGCTGCAATGCTTTTGGATCTCTTTATATAAGCAGGATTTTGCTAAGGAGTGGGTGGACCCTTATAGGTCTGTATCATGTTAACAAAGCTGAACATTTAAATGGAGCTAGGCCAAATGAAAATTATAAAGAGACAATCTGCCGAAAGCTGTATGATGAGGTGGTGCAGTCAAGCAGTCATTATTGTGGGACGTTCTCATCAGCCCTTTGAGAAGGATCTGGATGAGTTATTGACATTACTGTGTAGAAGGCACCTTTTATCACATTGTTTGTACATATACTTTAGTTTCACCTTTTCCCAGAGTGCTGACTGTATTCTTCCTTCCCTGATGAAGATTCCCGTGTATAAAATGCCTGTGAGGGAGGACTTTCTGTCCTCAAGGGCCCCTGGAGAAGTGTGGTTAGTTTTCTTATGATGTTACATAGGAACTCATTTACTTATTTGAACCTCTCTCCTCAGTCAATCCATCAATACTTGACAGAAGGGTTGTATGTATATTAACAGATGCAACCTAATTTTGCAAATTTTGCTTCTGCTCTATTGTTAAGGATAAAAACTACATCACACTGCATTAAAATATTTACTGCTGTATTGCTTGCTTTGACAGAGGTTTTTTTTTTAAATTTCTCCTTGCATAAATGCCACCTATGTTCATTGAACTGTGACATTTCTTGCTTTAAAAAGCCCTCATGTAAATAATATATTCACATGTCCATTTTTATGTAGCAGAAGTGCGTAAATAAATGAAATTCTGAGGAAAAAAAAACAGCTGCTACACTTAGAGGAATAAAGATGCTGATTTAGGACTAAATCTTGTGTCCATTGGTGGGATAATGTTAGATGGATGAACAATGGGGGGACTCTACCTTATCTCACTGGAGGTGAGTGGCAGCATTCACTGATGCACTTACTGAAGGAAACTTCTGCTCTATAGGAGAGTTTTCCAGAGAGTGCTGTATGAAAGGCATATCAAATGTAGGTGTATATATGTGGTGGTCACTATTGGGGCATCTGAAGCATTTTTCAACAAAGATTTTTCATGAGTGGCAACCTGTGTTCTTCAAAGGAGGAAATGTTAGGGGGAAGGCTAGTTCCTTCCCTCCTGAAAGCAATGTGTTGACTGGATTACCAAGACAGATTTCCTGCATATCCCAGTGACAAGGGAAGTCACTTTGGATGTTGGAGGTCTAGATTCAAGTCTATTCTGTGCTAATATCCCAGACAAGTTCTTAGCTGTAGAGCTATCCATTGCACTATTGAACACAAGCCGTGAATAAGCCACTGATAGTATAAAATGGAACTGTTCTGACAGCAAATATCAATAAAACTGCCCCAGAAAAATCAGCAGTCTTGTCGTTTGTTCACTTATCGGAATGTAATATCCCAGTTTAAATCCCAGTGAGCTATGCAGATGAGACTGGAATATACCTGGAGACTACTCTAGCTAACAGGCCATCCTGGCATGTACAAACTTCTTCTGATTCATGACATGTTTTGGAGAAGTCTCTCTTGCTTTAGGGTACAATAGAACAAGCATCTCAGAATTGTCTTCCTTGCTTGTGTAAGTAATAAGACAGTTGGGATTTTTTTCTCTGTTTTCTCTATGTATTCATGAGTCAACTTTGTGTTTCTGAAAACAGTTTTTCAGGTTAGAATGAAAGGACTCATTAATAACTATGTAAAATTAGAGGGAAATAAAGCAAAGTTTGTCATTATAGCTCTTTGGTTTTCTTCCTATTTCAAACTAGGCTGGCCATGTCTGTGGAGATGATATAGACCTAGTTGATGGACGTCCTACTGGTTCTGTGAGAATATCCTTCGGCTACATGTCTTCTTTTGAAGATGCACAGACTTTTCTGAAATTCATCATAGCCACCAGGCTCTCCAAGTCAGACACTGAGATTCCCTTCCAGTCCTCTGTTACAAAGCTGATGACAGAGTCTGTCCCAGATGACCACCCTTCTTTTACCAATGCAGATAAATTGTATATGATACCACACATCTCAGACACACAACTCAGAAATAATTCATCTGTGACAAAGACAGCCGTCAACTGGCAGCCACCGGAGGCTGAGGCGGAAAGCGTAAGGGCAGCTCTTTCTGAGACTGCAGTACCAACATGTAGAAGAGGTGGCAAGCCCATCACTGTCACCAACATTTACATCTACCCAATCAAATCCTGCTCTGCATTTGAGGTATTTGCTTTGAAACATTCTTAAATATTCATCTCGACCTTCTTTTTTCCTTACCCCTCTTGGACATGTCAACCAGAAATAGCATAATCATGAGATATGAGGAAACAGTATGTGGGTACCCATTTTTCCTTTTCTTCAGTTTCTAGGATCAAGTCCTGCATGCTAAAGTACTTTGAAGGATTTTCAATTAGACTGAAATTGCAGGATGCTCTCCCCTCCCCCCCAACAGACAAATTTGCACATAATATGCAGTCTTGAAAAAAACAGTTGGATTTGCAAAACCTGACTAAAATATAATCAAGTAATTAGTATGCTTTTACAGAATGACATGTGATGGACTTGTAGGCATTGATGGGTAGGCAGCAACTGAGAAATAACTTGATTAAAATGTTATAATTGAGAGGAGGATGATTTACATTACAAAGAAATGTTATCGTTAAAAATACATTTGCAACAGAAATATGACATTTAAGTGTTGCTGCAGTATTTGAAAGTTCACTCTTTAAAGATTTTAATTGCTTTTTTACCAAGTTAATTGTATCGTCACCTTAGCTGTGACTTTTTTTTTTTAAATAATGCATGATGAAATAGGTGTATAGCCCACACATGATCTAGAATGTGACTCTGCTTAGTGCCATACTGGGAAGTGATTTAACGAATGTCAATATCGGCATAATTTTCCCTATGAAAACTAGCTGATGTAGATCACTGTCTCACATCTGAGTGAAAATTGGGGTCAAATCCAGTGACAAATCACCTGCATTTAAAATATGGCTTCTCAACTGATTTGATCATGTTTTGGTTTTGTTTTGTTTTATTTTGTTTTGTTTTTTTCATAATGCAAAAACAGGATGCAGAATTAAAGCAAAGACTGTAAATGTTAAATCATCTGTATTTTTAAATTTAGTTTGGCTTATGATGTCTTTAATTCAGGGGCGCAATTTTGAGCATTAAATGAGACCTGAACAAACAATTTCCATGCCTTATTAACCTCCCACTAAATCCAACTGTTTAGAAAATCAAAGTAATCCCACATTTCAAGTGAAAATGTTTTAACCTTTGTTCAAGTGTTGCCATTATTACAGCTGTATTACAGAAGCCCACTTCAGAAGCTGCTGACGTACGTTCTAGCAGTATTCGGACCCCTTTAGGGTTAAATTCTATTTTTAACATGCAGGCGGGTGTTGTGAGACACATACCACAACATTCAGTGCTAGAAAGGCTTTGAAGTGATTGTGCCTAGGAGCAGGTAAGACTTACCTCAGCATGAAAGACAGCTTATGTTTCCCCACAAGCTGAGACAGATTTCTTCTCTTCAAGCTCTGTGAGGGGAAACGACTCTAGGTGATAAATTCATACAAACCTGGTAGTCCCTGGCAGACAGAACTGCAATTTTGTATGAGATGGAAAATCCCTATTCCTCATGCATACTTCTTGTGCCAGGCATGTGTTAATGGGCCCAACATGAAAGCAGGGTTTGTCTTATTTCAATTTACCCCTCCAAAGTTAGATACTATTCTGTAAACAGTGAGAGTTGGATAACTGTTAATTCATCTTGTCGCAAAATAGGCAGCTGCAGTAGGAAAAATGAATTGTTCCTGGATATTTCTGTCTCTTTCCATTGATCACAGGAGGAATCCAAGGCAACTTGGATTACACAGCTAACACTAGCTGATTTGAATAGTTTAAAAATACAGATATTAAAACTGCAACTATATTATGAGGTTTAGTTTTGCGTGCTTATAATCAATTCTGAAGTCTAGTGTAATCTGGTTTGATATTTTTTGATAAGAAATTATCACCCTCATTAGAACTCAGTAAGCTAAGCACTGTCAGAGCCTGTATTGCCAAAGAGTAATACACAATTAAATATATACTGGCTTTCGTATATGGCATTGGAAGCAACTGGAAGTTCACTATCAGTAGCATTTAATTCTTCTCTACCTCTTCTCAAAGAGCGTTTTTTGTCCATTTCCACTTAGTTCATAGAAGCTACATGAGTACATGTGAAAGAACAGTAAAATCTGACCTAATAGATACGATGAAAAAGAAGCCAAAAGATTGATTGACTTTAATTATTTCCAGCATTGAAGTAAATCCCCAAAGAAAATATGTTTGCTTTCATTATCTTCTTCCTGTCCATCAGGCCTTCTTCAGGCTTTTGTACCCAAAGGTCTAAGTAACACTTCTGAGCTGTTGTACTTTTATAACCAGCCTGTGAAAGATCTGACAGACTCATTGTCTGCCTATAGAAGAGATGCAAATTGCAATTTACAGCCCACCATTTGTAATGAGCTTTAAAAATCAGTTAATTCCATTCTAAATCAACCACTGGCTTGGTCTCTTCCTGATGGCTAAAAGTAGAATAGAAAGCCAGTGCTGCCAAAACCCACATCATCACTAACTACGGAGTGCATCATTCTCCACAAATCTATCATGTAAGTATGCCATTACTGCAACTTGAGCCTCTATCATCTTGAAAGGGGAAAATAACCTATGCCACATGGCACTGTAGGTTGAAGCAAGACATTCTAGAGAAACCTTACCACAATGAAATGGAATCAAATCCTGAAAATAATTTTGCCTTTTAAAATATTGATTATAGCACCATTTCTAGGCTTTATGATGAAAAGATTGAATCCCATAGAAAAGTGTTCCTTTGCAAGTCTCTTGGCAGTCTTTGTCATACAGAGCTCACACTTAACATTACATTATCTCCTTACTTTAGTAAACTCATAAGCTTCTGAAGTAATACTTGTGTAGCTTGTAGTTTCCTTGGTCTTCAGTTAGAAGCCAAAAACTGAAATTCAGTTTCACATTTTAAATCTAAAATACCTTTAGATGCTTCATAGTTGTTGGAAAGTTAGAAACATATTTTCCCAACTAAAATTTTGGTCTCCTTTTTTATCAGTTATAAGATAGCTCTAAGCTTTTGATGTGGAAAGGTGAAAATGGTTTAGGTGTTGGACAACTATGAATTCACTCATCTTGTACTTGGATGCTTGAGATCAGAATCTCATAGATTTGTAATTTCAAGGCCTCCAGCTGGTATATGGTAGGTCAGACCTTTAGCATGTGTAGTAAATGGGCTTTATTGTAATTACATGATTGCTTGCATTTGCCTAAAATATTATGTGCAGTGGAAAATTCCAGATAACTGTGTGTGTAGGACCCAGCCCATCTGCTAGTGAAATCTGCCTCCTGCTGACTTACTGGTTGCAGGATAGATGACTTCATTAGAGAAGGGAGGGGGAGGACAAACTCAATGAGGGTATGAGTACAAACTCTCAGCTGTTTCATCTCCTCTTTAGAGTCACATAATCCCCTCCTCTCCTAAACTCTGATTTCTCTGCTTTATTCTAAGTGTTTTAGTATGGGAGATACTTGACCTCCAGAGAAAATGAGACTGCAGAGTGCTTTGGCAGCTGGGAGGATGAACCTTGGCATGAAGAGCATCAGCTCACTGCAGGTTGGGTAGTTCCTGCAGTGTGTGTGTTTTATAAAGTGTTCCTGGCCACGGGACATTTTCTGTTCAGTGTTGTTCCATAGGGTTTGTACACACGGCACAGGAAGCAGAAGGCAGAATATTCTAACTCAGCTTCTTAAATGCACTTTCTTTCCCCTACAATTATTTTATTAAATGGGTAGAAGCAGAGAAGAGGAGTAGCCTCTATCCCAGGTCACTTTTTTTCTTCTTTTCCAACATAAATATGTGTTTTAAACATTAACATCTATCATGTCGATGAATTTTGCATAATTACATAATGCAATGTGCCACTGAAAAAGGTTAGGATTTTAAATATTAATAACTTTATTATTCTTGCGGTAGATTTCAGAGTATAAAAATTGCATCTCAACACAGAAGACAAATTAGCTTTTAATTTAAAGTACAATGCAAATTCCTAGTGATCAGTGGATAAATTACATGTAGGATCACTAACATTTTTAAACTTGCATAATTTAAAACCTATTCAGTGAGTCCTTTAATGTGTTCAAAAATTGTGTTAGCCTTCATGATGACATTATTGTGAACTACAGAAAAATGCAGCCCAAAATGTTTTAAAGAAAATTCTGAAAAAAGCAAAAATGTGTTTTTGCAATGAATATTTTTACACTACAAGAAGGAAAATGGACTAAAGCAGATTGGGTAGTACTATGTACTGGCTGTGCTATGCAATGATCCTTTCTTAAGGATCATATCTAGAGAAAATGGTCAGAGGGCTGGAGCACCTCCCCTGTGAGGACAGGCTGAGAGAGTTGGGGTTGTTCAGCCTGGAGAAAAGAAGGCTCCAGGGGGACCTAATAGCAGCCTTCCAGTACCTGAAGGGGGCCTACAGGAGAGATGGGGAGGGACTCTTTATCAGGGAGTGTAGTGAGAGGACAAGGGGTATAAGCTGAAAGAGAGTAGATTTACACTAGACATTAGGAAGACATTTTTCACTGTGAGGGTGGTGAGGCACTGGAACAGGTTGCCCAGAGAAGCTGTGGATGCCCCATCCCTGGAGGTGTTCAAGGCCAGGCTGGATGAGGCTTTGAGCAACCTGGTCTAGTGGAGGGTGTCCCTGCCCAGGGCAGGGGGGTTGGAACTCGATGATCATTAAGGTCCTTTCCAACCCTAACCATTCTATGATGCTATGATTAGCCCACCTGCCATGCTGGGAATGAAGGTGTTTGATATCATCTATAAATAAAATCATGGTGTCCTTGATTTTTTTCTGTCCTCCCCCTTCTAATTTGTCTCAGTAGTCAGAGATGGCCAGACAACTTCAGGGGATCAAGTTAGAAGCTATGTAATACAGTATTGCTTACTGCAATGTACGCTAACCTGTTTTACTTCGCAGTAAGCTTCATTGGTTGCTTTGCTTCACTGTATTGGTTGCCTGAATATAGGGATTTAGTGACATTTGAGTGCCCTGACTGACCTGCTGCTGGTCTACCGGGATGTGGATCATCTTTGCAGCCTGTGTCATTTCTACTAGCTTTGGGCAGACTTCTGAGATGTAATCCAACCGAGCCAAATTGAACCACTCTTCTTGTATCTCAAATGAAAACAGAACAGGCAGAATTTGATTGAACTGCTCTAATTCAGTTGCTTGCAATCATTTAACAATTTCTTCAGTCTCTTTGAGATAACAGTGGGAGATGGTCTGCACAGGTTGCATGCTTAAGTACTAAGAATAGAAATGTTTGTGTTCTTCCATGCTCATTTCCAGTATCAGTATTAGCAACAAACCAACTCCGACTCTTTCACAGTCACCTGTGGCTATTTGTCCAAGGCAGGGTAGGCAGCGATTTTGTTGTTGCAACTTTATATTTATTGGAGTCCTAGCAACATATGCAGTACAATAAGTTGAAAATGGAGAGGAGGTAGGGCACTTGACAGTGCACGGGGGACTCACTGCTGGGCAGGTGTGTGTGTGATTCTTGTTACAATGGCAAATACCCAGAGGAAGGGGAAAAAATGAGCTGAGTCATGTGCTGCATCTCAGAGTGGAGCATTGAGTTACTTGCCATTATTTTGGACCTACCAGAGGTATTTTGAATTGAAGGTGTTGATTATTTCGAAATATCTGCTACCCAGTCAGCTGAGCTTTCTCCGCAATGTATATCAGCATGTAAAAATTAGCTGAAGCTCTGATTAAAGAGAGTATGTTTTGTTTTGCTCATAAAACCTCTTACCTTCAGTGAAGGGTAAGCAAACACTTAAGGTATTTCCTGAATGAGATTGCTGTCCTGAAGTGGAACCGAAACAACTGAATGCTACAATAGGGAGCTAGGAATCATTGTCTTCATGCTCTTTTTCTATTTTTCTGCTCTTTTAGTTTATTCTGCTCATTGTGTCTTGCAAATCCTGTTAAGATCTGTTGGATTCATAGGAGGATGTATTACCGATTAGTGATCTTCTGTTTTGGAAGGGAGATTTGTTAGCAGGAAATTCTCGCAGCTCTCAAATGATCACCAGCTGTTCAAATGCATTTTGTAATTTAATTATACAGGATTAAAAAAAAATACTGGCCTCTCCAAAGAATAATTTCCAGCAAGGACAAAAGTCTGTTCTTCAGCTGCTATTGTAGTCTTTGGGCTATGATTCCTCTTCTAAAATGACACAGCAAAGATTCACATCATTTAGGTGCTGACAGTTTGAGGCACTTGGACAATGTGGTTTCGGATGACATTGTCAGGCCTAAAGTTTCCATTTTTGACTGAATTTTTCATCCACACTCACTTAAAAAACTGCCAAAGAATATTATAAATCAAGTAAGTTGATAAAGTACGTTTCTTATCTTTGTATTTTCTGTATCCAGTACAGTTGATAGCACTGTGGCCAAATTATTTAGAGTTCAACTTTAATGCTTTAAGTTCTCAGTTTCACAATGCCTGCCCTCAGCTTCCACTAGTCAGGCTGTCAGTGTCAAGCGACTGCTGCAGGCTCCTATAAAACCTGGAGAAGTTCATAAGAATGCTATATTGTAGGGTTTTGGATAGAGCACATGCTAAAAAAAAAAAATGTGATTTTTAATTAATCTAACCAGTACTTCCAGCCATGCTTTTCTTCAGAGCATTAGGCTGTGCCTGGCATATCTTTTTCTCAGTACTTTTTGCTGAAGTCTTTTGCCGGTTAATTCATGTGAGCTGCGCTAAGCATCTCTACAAGAATCCAACAAAGTTCAGCTCTAGTTAACTTTTCTCTGTACTCTATTGTGACTTGAAATCTTACATGAGCTGAAGCAATATGTTTAAATGCCCTGCTTTATGTTAAAAGAATTGTATTAATATTTTAACATTCTGAAGGAGAAAGCAGTTATTAATATCACCCAAAGGCATTACTAAAATTGCTCTCTTTTTGGATTTCAAGATTACCATCTGTGTAGCATCAGTAACAGATGTTCTTTTCACCAGAAAAATGTACATGAAAGCAAGGACAATGTGCTTGTATAGGCTATTGAATGTGAAGAGTGTTATAGAAGTAATGGAAAACAGATAGCAAAGACGACAATATGTTTTGTTATAAGGGGATCTGGAGAAACTATTATGCTCCTAGCTAAACCAGAAACCTCAGTGGTGGAGGTTTTCTCAAGTGGATTCATTGATAAAGTGGTTCCAGTTTTATGAAAAATGTGGAAGTTTTTCCAGAATTTTGAATTTCACATTTTTCTTGCATTTTGTTTGCTTGGTTTTGCCTTAATTCATACAACTCCCATCAAATATCCATGTTTTGTAAATCAAAAGAAAATTGTTGGGGAAAAAGGCCCTGAAAATGGATGAGTATAAAACTGAAAGCAGTTTTCAGAGTTTCAGGGGTTGTTTATTCTCATAGCTCTCTTAAATCAAAGGGTATGATAATATGTAAAAAATTATAGTAGTGCCATTTTGTTTTGTCAGCTTTGTGCAGTGATATCTTTATCTTTGATTTGCAATTAAGGTTTCTCTTATTAAAGAGTGATACTGGCTTGCACAATTTTTCCTGATTTCAAAGTATTTCATTAATGGGTTTTTTTCCCTTTTCAGCATGAATATATTAATGCAGCTAACATTTTTGAAAACTTTGTATCCCCTCCTGATGCTTTTCCAGGTTACAGAATGGCCTGTGGGAAACCAGGGTCTGCTGTATGACCGTAACTGGATGGTTGTAAACCGGAATGGAGTCTGCATGACTCAGAAGCAGGAGCCAAGGTTGTGTCTTGTAAATCCCTCAATTGATCTGAAGAAAAAGGTTATGGTCATCCAGGCAGAAGGTTAGTAACCAATATCCTTTTCTCCCCTTTGTTATTCGTGTCGAACTTGTAGACAGAGACACCTGCATGCACCCACCAAACTGCTGGATGCTATGTATGCTTAGTGCTTCAGGGACAAATTCTGCTACCAGCTGTCAGCAAAGAAAGCCTAGACTGTAATATGTAGCGTTGGGTAGTTTCCCAGCTTGTTGTTGGGATGGGCAGAGAGCAGACAGTGACTCTCTTTGTGCAGTCATAAAGTGAATGTTCCAGGAAGGAGCAATGAATTGACAGATGTGGAAACTTACTGACTAGTCTGTCTGTCCACATCATGAAGTCCATCAGCCTGAAGGGACTGTTATTGCTGCAGAGGTAAAGGAATAGGAGTCTAACATGAAACACCCTGGCCAAAGACCTTCCCATTTTATAACTCTCCTCCACATTCCAGCTGTGGGACTAGAGGGGTAGAGTCTTCAGTGGAAATTAGTATGAATTAAAATAAGGACCAGACATTATTTAGGTCACTTAAATACTTGCATTAGCAGGCAAATATTTCATGATGTTTGGGCTTCTCTGGATTAATCAAAACCCTTTTTATTCTCTGCTGAGGAGAAAAAAAAAAAAAGAAAAAAAACCAAACCTTATGGAAGGTATTATGGAATGCCTATTGCTGCCTGGGGGTGCAAATGATTTATTTTGCTAACAGTGCTGTTAGCACTGAAGGCTGGAACAGGTTTGTATTCCACAAAAGTCATTCTTAATGACAAGTTTGCATGTTTCTGAATGTTGTTCATCGTTTCCCTGGAGTCTGATATTTACTCAGACTGTATGTCTTAACCATTAATAATATATATGTCCACATTTTCAGCAGCTAGATCAAAGCTAAGGAACCCGTATTGAGGTTTTTCACCATTTACTAGAAATCCGTATAATAGGATGTGTAACTACAGTCTTCTTTCTGTTTGTACATTACAGTTGTTGTCTTCTCCAGCTGTCTGAGCACTCTCTATAAAATTAAGTCTGACCAGTTCATTTCTTTTGTTTGGAATAGGTTTGTCAAATGTACATTTGGGTACTTCCACTAGTCTTGTGTGATTTTGTGTGTTTCAGACCCCAAACACAATCTAGTCTCTTCCCAGGTTTTCCAGACTGGCTCATTGGCACAAATGCTGCTATTTTGCACTCTGCCCTTTGTAAGCTTTCTTTGAAAAGGTAATGGCTAATTCATGTCAATTGTATGTGGAGCACCTTGCACCTCAAATTTTTGTAGTACAGTTGCCTAGACAGCCTTGTCTCACAACTTTTAAATTACTAAGTGCTTCAAAACTAATTATTTCTAGAAATTCAGTTCCTTTCCATCTCTCTTCCTTTCTACCAGTACCTCTTCACAATGTGAAGTCCTGTCCAAACCTTCTCCATTTATCCTTCACATCATCAGAGGTTCAGCTCTGTTGGGCCTTTGATTGCTTCATTCTGCTCTTCCAAGTATGTTCTTAATTTTTTCCCTTGCTAGTACCACATTGGTCAGGCAAGTGTATATCAATTAGTATGTAGGCCTGTCAATAATGTCTGCACTGCGTACTTCAGAGTCAGGAAGAAGTTTTCTCAGAAAAAAATGGCAGCAAAGGAACCAATTTCTCACTGAGATTTACAATCTTTTGCCATAGGTAGTGCCAGGGTGAAATTCACCTTTAAATCCTACATTTTACTTTGTGTAATTTTTGGAGTTTTCACTGACATCTGCCTTCCTTCCTATGAAAGTGAGAACCATTTCTATCCAGAAGTCATTGACCCAAGTCTTCAGATCGCTTTTCTGCCCCAAAGTGATGGATCAGATCTCCAGTGTGCTCTAACAGAAATATGGCTGACATTTATTTATAGCCTGCTTTGGTACAGCCAGTATGTAAGAGTGGAGTCATTTAGTTCTTTGTATAATTACTCTAATACCAATAATCTTAGCCCATAAGGTGCTCTGGGCCCTCTTTTTATAATAGTCCTGTTATTTTTCACTCTCGTAGTGTACTTGCAACCTGTGGTATTTTTTTAATGCTTGACAGTGGAGATAATGGCTCTCATTTTCTTGAGGAGACTATTCCAGTGGTTACTTGCTCATAAGATAGCACAGTGATGGGAACACATATGAATGGACAGGGTAAGACTGAGCAGATAAATCTGCAGGAAGTTGTTCCAATATTTATTCTGGTTTTTTTTCCTCTTACCTGCAGTCTAAATGCATTATTTGTTTGTTGATGTTTAATGTTTAATTTTTTCTTTTATCCCATCACATACATGGGTCATTGCTGTATCTCCCACATAACTAATTTCATGGCAGACAAATATAATTAAATAAGTTGACTTTTTCCTTGAAAATCCCACGTTAATCACTGTTGCTTTTGTCACCACTCTCTCCAGCCTGGCAGTAGTTTGTTGCTAATGTAAGACCTGAAGCTGACCGCCACGTGTGCAGCAGGAGCAGCAATCAGTGCAGTGAGGAGCAGCAGCCCTCTGATGAGCCAGGCTGGCTGTTGGGCAGTTCAGAGCCTTCACCGGCCTACGTCTGTGGCTAATGGTATTTCAGATTTGTAGCACTTAGCCTGCTGACTACAGCCGCCTCCAGGTCTCTTCCAGCTTTGTTGCTTTGCGAGTTTCTTTCTCCCACTGTATGCTTCCCACCCAAACTGCCTTTCCTCAGCTACAGTAGCATGCATCTTTCCAAGAGGAGTTTTGTTTCCTCCAAACCCCCTCTCCTCCCCCTGCCTTTACACTCCCCAGGCAGTTCCTCTTTTCTTCTCGGTGCGATGGGGACATTTCTGGTGGTGAGGAGTGGGTGAGGGAGGTGACACCAGTAAAAAAAAAGAAGAGGCAAAACCTTTGAGCTTCACTTTTTCTGTACGTCTTGCTCTGCTGAAAATGAAAACCCAGCAGCTCCCAGCTGACCAGTGACAACTGCAGTCACTAGCTGCCTTCCCCCGGCTCCTCTGCAAGGAGGCTGTAACCGCTCTGCTTTCTCTACCAGATTTTCTGCTGTTCTCTGTGCTTTTCTCATTGTGAGAGCAGGCTGTGGCAACGATCTCCATCTAGAGCTCACTTTGCTCTCTGGAGATGTCTCTCCAACAGAGAGAGCCTAAGGCAACCGTGCTGCTGGATTAGGTGCCTCTGGTAAGTGCCTAAAGCCCAGTGGGGCAAATCCCACATAGCTGAATTATGCGGCATTCTAAAAGAACATTTTGCTGTTACACTACTAGATTATGGTAGTAATGTAACTGTGCCATTTTTCAAACATAATCATTCTTTTCTCCCCCTCCAGGCATGTGCTTTCCTCTCCCTGTAGAACTTTTCATTAGTGGATAATTTGTTTATGGCTATTTTATTTCAATATGGTTTAATATTCTCTGTCGTCTCTGTCCAACAAAATAAAACTGTCAGCATGATTTAATGTGACAGTAACTACTTTGATACCTTTTGCTGAATCCTCCATGTGCTGAGGCATGGCTTCATGTTCTTTCTTTAACCCCTGCATGTAGCGTGTCTCCGTAGCCTGTCTAACAACCAGCCTTGGATGGGCAGACTCACTGTCTGACTGACTCAGCTGTGCGATCTTGCCGTCCCTGTGGGTAGCAAGGACATCAGACTGGGGCTCTAGACATGGCCAAAACTGCTTGAAGGCTTAGGAATGTTCCCTGGCATGGCTGCAAAATGAGTTGGCTTGCATGGCAGCTAGGGAGCTCCAAGTATTTCCCTGATTCCTGAGGAAGAGGGTAAGCGAGAGCAGAGGGAGAGTAAGGGCTTGTGCTTGGTCTCTCAATGGCTGTACTTTATGATAGAGGGAGTGAGATTTTAGTTTTGAGGAACTGAATTTCTGAATTTTGTCAGAATGATTTTTTTAGGCTATGTGATTGTTAATGGGCATTTCCTATTCTTTTTGACATGAAGAGTGTAACTAACCCTTGCTATCACAGGACTTGCTTTGACAAAATCAGTGTAACTTTAAATAAGCCCCTGTGGAGAAAGACAACTTCTTGTATCTCAACTGAAGCAGTTAGTAGTATGTCAACTGAAGCTGTTAGCAGTTAGGCTCCCAGTAACTTAAAGGTAGGCAGGAGCAAGTGCCTTTATTTCTAGAAGCCATATTACTTCAGTGGGAATCAAGGGAAATCTTGTTGTCCTGCTCCATCAAACACATGGGGGCACAGATTACACTGGTCTTGTTCCTGAACAACATAAAAGCTAGCCAAACAGAATTTAGCTGAGAATACATTTCTGTAGAAGCCTAATTTCTCTCTTTCCATTTTAGCTAATAAGCAGCATTACTCTGGCAAGTTGGGTATTAGTTTGCTACTGCACAGAGGGAGAAATTTTGAGTGTTGCAAAGACCCTTTAAAATATTGGAGAAGAAAGATGCTAGCAAAACTGAGCAAGTAATTACACTTTATGGAGTTTATTGTGCCTTCAAATAGTCATGTGTTACTGCCAGTAAAAATAATGGGAATTAAGTGCATACACTGATGAAAGAATATACATGAATAGTTTATATTTCAGTCTATTGAAATAACAGACCTCTAATTTTTCTCATTGACTGAAAATAGGACCTATAAAGACAAGAATATTTTTTATGTTAATACTGTGAGCACATCTGTGAATTTTATTATCAAGCAAATGACCATGGAGAATGACAGCTTTTACATTTTAGTAACTGGCAATATTCTGCTTTATTTTTTTGCCTTAAGATAGAATAAAATTGTAATTAACAATGTTTAACTGACCTAAACATCTCTGTGAAATGTGTATTGTTCAATGAAAATGTGATACACTTCCTGGTGTATAAAAGCAGGCTTTTTAAAGCCTTAAGACTCTATTTTAAGAAATTTTGTGAGTATGCCTTCCTTAGAAAGTATTTTTAAAAAATGTAAAAGCTAAGGATGCATACAGGACGAAACCTTTCAAACTATTTTTTTTCCAGAAGGAATTATGCTAATGTTCAATTTTTTCAAACTACAAGAGCATTAGTTCTATTTATAAGATTTTAACATTAGCTTCATTTTCACGTCGTTGCAGGCAAGTTTCATGCGTTTATTACTTATGTGTTTTATTTTCCTAAGTGAACCTAGCTTTTCCTCTTCTATCTTCACTTCTGAAGTGTGACATCAATAGCTAAAAAAGGAGTAGTTATCTTTCTTTATTGAAAACTTGCATGGAGCAGAGATGATAGTTGGGATATAGTGAACCTGAACTACATTCATTATTCTTCAGAAGAGAACAAAACAATTTGATTTCACCATATCACAGAGCTGGTAGAGCTTGATTCTTATTTGTACTGCAGTAATATAAACAGGAAGCAATGAGTGAAACTGAAACATGCTGATATAATGCTGAGGTACAGGAGATCAGTCTTTGCTGGTTTATGTTGCAGGATAATGGAAGAGTTGGATTCATTGCAGGCACACAGTAAAATGCTTCATTTGTCGTTTCAGATTATTGCTTTCAATTAACAGAAAGGATAATAGTACAGTTTTTCTTTTAGTTCTAGTAAGCCACAGTAGCCTTTCCATCTCTTTGGCTCATTCTGTTCAAGATAAGAAAACTATGGAATAAATTGTTAACATAGATCATTACCAAGGATTCTTCATCTAGTTTAAACTTAGGGATGGATAGATGGGAATGATTATCTCATTAGTGGTTTCCATACATTTTATCTTTAAATTATTGTAGTTTTATGACACATTCTATTTTTTTCCTTGAACAGCCTGTGCTTATTTTTTCTCCACCCCCCCACCTCCATCCTTCATCTTTCTGATCACTCCATCCCACCAGTTATGCCACTCCAAAAAAAGCACAAACCAACGGTGATTAACTTCATCTCCTAAATTGCTAAAGGGGGCACAACAGTGATAAACTCATCCTTTCGCCACAGACCATGACTGAGGCAATAATTCTGTGCCAGTTTTGTTGCCTGAGACACACTGAGAATTAAGTTACTCAAAGCTGAAATTGTATACTCCGTAATGTGGTTTGGGTAGCAAGGTCATCTGCAGCCTTTGCTCTTTGCATTATCATTTGGAGCCACCTGCAGGCAGAGAAAATATAATTCTAGCAAAAAGGAAGTTTTTTGTCACATGCTATTTGGGAGGCTGCTGTGATTGTGAACAGGTGCAAAAATAAGAACTTTTTTCGTGATCCTATGTTTCTGCATAAATGTTTTTTGAAATATGGTTTGCTCTCTGCTTATCTAGGCATGGACCCAATATCTGTGTCACTAGAAGAAAATATTGGAAAAGAGGCTGTGATCTGTGAGAGTAAGGTCTGTTCACACAGGTGAGTGAGAGCAGAGAGGAACTGAAGATGAAAATCACTGCAATAACACTCAGGACATGATGGGATGGGCACATAGGGGCAGAATTCCTTTAAAAAAAGAAAGCAAGGGTAGAAAGCAACGCATGACCTAGTGGACCAGGAGACGACAGATTTAGATAAGTAATTTTGCATGCCCAGCATATCTGGTAGAAAACACTAAAAAAATAGTAAAAATTAAAAATATGGGAAAGGACAGTACAAGAGACTGTGATGACTTGGCACTCACTTGAATAAGGGAGATCTTTGTGTTACTTGCTGCAAGGATGAGAGAAGGGAAAGTTGTCCCCAGTTACTTCCAAATGCCAACTGGGGGCCTCAGCAGGACTCTAAAATTCAGTTCCCTCATTTGACAGCAGTGATGTGGGCAAGTTTGCCCACTTCATGCTGTGTGGATTCAAAATTGCTAGAACCTGCTGAGGTTATAAACAGCTTTCTGTATTTACAATCCTTTTTAATGTTGTTTTGACCACTGATGTTGATCAGTGTCCCCTTAACAATCTTGGGAAGATTGTAGGTGAGTGTGTGAAATAATATTAATTCTAATCAAGAGACATGTCACTTCAATGAAATATAACATTATGCATAAATTAATTTCCTATCAGTGAACTTAAGTGTTTATCTGTCATGTTTTCTGAGTAATTCCCAGTCTCATTAAGTTTCCTGAGTGACAGTGTATCAAGTGCCTTCCTGAAGTACATTTGCATTATCTACTACGTTTCTTTTCACTGAGTCTCTTGATAAGTCCAACTGAAAGAGCCACTTACAGATTTATGCTGTCTTTTAACCAAGGTACCCTAATTTTTTGTAACCCTCTACATTTACATCTCTGAGGGTAACACAGCAGAAGTCTTGGGCATTTTTCCCCATGGAGCCATGCTGGAAATGATCTTCTTTTTTTTACTAGCTATTCAGATGACAGAGAGGTTTTTTTTTCTCAGAAGTGTATTTTCCTCAGGTAGTGGAATTCACCCAAGTTTCATTTGTTTTAACCATCTGTCCCCCTGCCCTTAGTGTTGACTCATCCTTAGCCTCCCCATGGTTAGCCTGTCTATTATAGGCTGTAAAATAGCCTAGGTTATCTTTCACTCTGTGTGCATATAATTGACTGCCATACTATTTATTGTAGCTTGTCTTTCATGTCACTGACTATATCATTTTTAATGTATGAAATAGGAAGTTTTCATGGGAAACTGCTTAAACTTCTGAGGAGGAAGAAAAGGATGGAATGACAAAGAAAGGAGAGATGCAAGACAAATTGCACAGAGTGGACTGTGATTAGCAAATAAACAAGGCAAGGAGTAAGGCAGAATGAGTGGACAACATTGAGGAGGCTCCCAAGCTACTCAGAGATCCAACAGCACTGTGTTTCAGCAGAGGAGCCTCCAGGGCCAAAGAAAATGGAAATAGGAGAGAAACAGTGCTTTGCAGTAGGACAGGAGGTGATTTGTGGTCTGAGGTCTTTTCTGCAAAGTGTCTAAGGTGAGCAATGGGACCAAAAGTCTTTTTTAAAAGATTTTTATTCAAAACAAACCCCTGCTGAAGGCATTTTCCACTTAGTAATTCTGCTCTCTGATGCTGTGATTTCATCCAGTTCTGTTGGCTTAGCTGGTTACTCTGAATTTACACTGAGAGAGCTGAGAAAAGCACATGATGTAGAATCTGCAAGCAGTCACATGAGGAAGTTTAATTTCACAGCAGCCGTGAAAGTTCAATGAGCCCAAGTTTCCCTTGTGAAGCAATTCATCAATGTTAGCCTTCATCTCAGCAGGGGCTGTCCATCAGCATGTGCTGCTCTCATTGGAGGGACATGGCTTTCTAGTATAATATCTAAGAGTGGACAGATGCAAGTAGAAACTAGTGATGTTAAGGTTGTTGATGTTGTAGAAGACCTTAAATGCTCAAAGTTAATGCTCTGCTGAAATAGAGACACAGCCCCCTCTTTGATAGGCTACAATATCAAAGAGATCAAAGGAAGAGTATCAGTGGTGGAAGAAGACAAAGGCATAGTTAATAATAAGGTGAACTGAGCCTGTTGTGCATAAATGTATATATTATATCCCTTGGGATTAATATTCGGACTTCAGCTGTCCTTGTTTCTTGTTCTATAAATTACCTAGCTAGAGGGACCAGCTGTAACACACTGGAGCTAAATGATATAATAAGAACATGAGTGGGGAACTCAAGTCATACAGCAAGTAAAATCTGAGAGAACTACGCCCTCCTTTATAAATTGCCTGACATGTGCCAAATGAAATGTAACACTGACAGATGTAAAGTAGTACTAAACAAAAATAAACATAAGCAGAAAATGAGTAGAATTGAGCTACAACAGAAGGACCTTGAAAAAGACCTTGAAGAGATGATGGTACTTGCTCAGAAAATTGTCTGACAATAAGGGAAAGCAATTTCAAAACATAGGAGTCTCAGAATACAAAAACAACACAATGACATTTGAAGAAATACTAAGAATGCTGTGTGTCCCTAACTCAGCCATTTTGACTCAAAATGGGAAGCAAATAAAAAAAGAGAGCAAAACTTTTATCCCGATCGGTACAGTATTAAACACCCCATCCTGTTAGAGGTAATTGGCTCAGGAGATAATTTAAATACCTCTAGGACCTCTGTTTGGGTGGAAAAATGTATTTGGGGAATTTATTCCACCTGTACTGTAATCATGGAAGATTCATGCCTTCTCATTAGCAGCCTTCTCCCTCACACTGTGACCAGCAAAGACACAAGAACTGCTCAGCTCAGACTACAGAATCTCATGTGGTGTCTCACCTTTTGGCCATTGTTTCTTGCCACAGTGCCTGCATCTCATAATACCAAGTTTCATTTCAGCTCTAGGACATCACTGGCTAGATGCAGCTGTGGTTGGCATCAGTCCAATCTCAGAGTAGGGGGAGGGATAGAGAGCTACACCACAATCAAAATGCAGAACAACTGCTGAAGAGATATCTGATCCCTGTGGGATTATGAAATCTCTTTGATTTCACTTGTCCTGGCTTTCTACCTGTGTAACTCAGCTGAACCTACAAAGCATTCCATAAAGCCAAGCCACGTCTTCCCTGAGCCCTAGGGCTTAGCATCTTTTGCTGTGAGGAGCTGTTATCTTGTTTCACAGAGCAGATGGTCTCCATGCAGATCAGCTTCTTTGGCTGCATTGGATGAAAAGGTGAGCATAGGACCACAGCTACCTCACTTTCCTTACTATAAGAATCCTGCCTAGATCAGCATGAGAATTTGCATTTCTCTTATCTGTTTATGCTATTTAAAAGTTAGATGTCAGCCAAATCTCCTTCTGTAGTCAATAAAGAGAGTTAAACGCTCCCAGAGCGAGAATCATCCCATCCTGAGGTCTAATATGGATAGGAACTACTTACCTCTTTCTGTTATCTGTGAGGGGAACCCAGATAACTAATTTAAGACTGAAGTTAAAATTGATTACTCAGGGCTGAGGAATCTAAGGGCAAACAGGATCACTTCCCAGTGGTCTGATCTGTGCCCTTCCTGAACCGGGAGAGGTGATCTCAAAATCCTTCTAGGAGAGATTATGTCCAGGTAAAAAAGGCACATCTATTGACAGCCTTGCATAACTCACTAGATGATTTGCTAGTAATGGAAGCCATCTTTAGATAGAGAGATACTTGGGCTCTTCTAGTGGAGGCATGTTTTAAAGTGGAATGTCTGTACTAATGTGAATTAAATTAGGGAATTAACATAATTGCACCTGATGGGATCATTAAAAATTACATACAGTATAGCACAGTGGGGCAATCTTAAATTCAACTGAGATTAATCCTCTTTGTTTTCGTAAAAAGCACAGACCAGAGAATAACTTTTTCATAATACTATATTGTAATATTGTGGTATACGCTATCAGTTACTGTACTTCAGAATCAGTGTCTTGGGTGTTACCATTATTTAATCCTTTATTCCACAGTAATTTTCTGTATAAAACTAAATTTGATCTCATGAGTATTAACTTCAAGATTAACTGCATAAAGTTGAAGAAATTGGGAGAAAAATTATGCAGAACTTCACATCTCTGCTTAATCGCTCATCAGAGAATACAGATTCCATGTTTTGTATTGGAAGAAGCAGAATAAACATCTTCATAATTTGTCTTCAGTTTTGCAAATTATGTTTGGGCAATCAAATTTTGCGAAGTCCCTCTTTTCTCATAATAGGGTAAAAACATATGACTGTGGAGAAGGAACTGCTGGCTGGTTCTCTTTGTTTCTTGGTCATCCATGTCGCTTGATAAGACAAAGCTCAGACATGAAAAACATGTCTCATCAAAAAAATACAAAAGGTATGTTATCATTCTTTAAAATATTTGTGATTCCTCACTTAGTAAACATCAGGCTCATGGACTTCATACTGACTATATAATTACCCTAATAAAGGGCAAAAGCATCATTCAGTATTGATCTAGTAGGTTTCAAAGGGTACATTTATACCCAAACTGTGTTTATGCTGCCCTTCTACTTCTTACGTTTGGTGAAAATGTACAGATATACCAGTCTGGGGCTTTTTTTATCATCATCACCATGATTTTGTCTGAGAACTCAATGTTAATTTTGAAAAATTATAATGAAAAATCTATAAACAATTTATTCTTAGACCAAAATTTATTATAAAAAATGATCAAATGGAAAGAGCATCAAAAATCTGTAGATATTGCTCTTGTAAATTGTTTTACAAATTTGGTAAAATCTCACCTCTATCTCAGTTTCTAAATGCATTGCATCATTATCATTTACATATTTGAGGGGATTCTTTGAATCTTTCCGTTGTGTCTGGAGCTGAATGAATATTTTTTTTAAAGAGAAGGAATCAGAGGTCAAAGGAAAGATGAGGTGAAATAAGTATTATAATCTTTCTGATTTTTAATGATCATTTTAGAATGTTGGATTCATTTTTTTAGGTCTGACATCTGCTACAAATATCTCCCTCTCTCTTGTGAATGAAGCACAATACCTCCTGATAAATGTAGCAAGCATTCTGCAGCTGAAAGAGCATATTTCTGCAAGGTAAGATTCTTCTGTCTCCAGATGTCTCTCAGTGGACTTGGATTCTAGAATCTTGCTATAAGATGCCTATATAACTATTCAATCTGGAAATCTAGAGACAGTTACTTTTAAATGTTCAACAAATATATAGGTACTAAACTGGTATAATTACTCATTCCTGTATGACTTCAGAAGATTTGGATTAAATGCTTGAACATAATCTTTCTGACAGTCATCTTTAGGAAAACTTAAACAAAATTCTTGTCAAATTATTTTTTGGCAGGAGACTATTGAGAACCAGCCAACTTCTAGTTGTGGGAACAATTAGGATAATTAGGTTTTCTCAACATAAATAATCTGGCAGGTGAAAATACAAAATCTTGCTACTTGCTGAACTATTTTTCCTATGGGAAGAATTAAGATTTATAGCAAACATTCACAACAGAAATAGTTTAAAACTACTTGCAGGACTGGATTAATTTAATTTCTTAATTGAATTTGGCTTTACTTGCACAAAACTGGGAGACAGAAGCAGCAAATGAAACATCGAGCCAGCCCACATTTCAAAGACAAGGAACCCATTACCAGCTAAATTTTCATATGCTGACAATAGAAAGTTGCTTTTGCTTGAATATAAGCAGGACAGGCTCAAATTCCACAGAAAGTCTGCCCTCAAGGCCTCCATCATAGCTGCGCATCCCACAGCCCTGGCATTTGTCTCTGAGTCCCCTTTTCCTGTCTCACCAAACTTCCCTGCCTCTGCTTGTAGTCATCTTCTCTCCTCTTAGTCACACACCAAACATCCCCCCTGCACTGAAATTCTTGTTTTGAGTAGTGGAGGAATAGATATATATACATATATGTACATATATAAGTATAGCTGTAGGAGGATACGTATATACCTTCAGGATTTGAAACCAGTGACTGAATGAAGCATCACTACAGACCACTGGAGTTTGCATTGCTTGGGGGTTTGCTTTCTTTAGGAGAAGACAGTTGGTCAATTTTAGTGTATCATGGCTGTGCTCATCTGGGAAAAATGCCTGAAAAAGGTTTAGATCAGTCCATCTCTCAGCTGTTTTGACTATCCTTTCTTAGTGATAGTGAATTCCTTATTTTGGGACTTGACTTGCTCAGTTATATCTCCTTGGGAGAGCAACACTTGCAGGCATCCCTTACTCAGATTGGGCTTTTTCTGTGGCGAGACCCAGTGAGGAATCTTCCAGACATAGGATCTGAGTGCAAAGAAGAGGAGCAAGGCACCAGAGGGAGCAGCAAGTGAGGATGTAGGAGGACAGGGAACTCTGGTAAAACATTCAATGTCAGATGATCCACTGATTTTGTACCTAGTATCTTCCAGTACAACTAGGCTTGTAACCTCCTTCTCTTCAAAGGAAACGCCAGATGTGACTGGAGAAGCATCTTTGTTCCACTCTGCAGCACAAGTTGGGAAACTCTTCCCTATTTTGCCATCCAGTGCTTTCACAAGGTGCTGGGGAAATGAATTCAGCATAGATATACAGCATCATCATTTTGCACTGTTATTAAACTGTGGTGTACAAACTTTGCAAATGCTGAACTATGCAATGTACTTTCAATAATCTGCACATATGGATCTTTATTAAATGCTTTTATTTTTTAGAAAGTATTATTATCTTCTTGGAGTCCAGAGGAGGGACATGAAGATGATCAGAGGGCTGGAGAACCTCCCCTATGACGACAGACTGAGAGAGTTGGGGTTGTTCAGCCTGGAGAAGAGAAGGTTCCAAGGAGACCTAACAGCAGCCTTCCAGTACCTGAAAGGGTCTACAGGAGAGATGGGGAGGCACTCTTTATCAGGGAGTGCAGTGATAGGATGAGGAGTAGTGTTTTTAAGCTGAAAGAGGGTAGATTTAGATTAGATATTGGGAAGAAATATTTTACTGTGAGTGTGGTGAGACACTGGAACAGGTTGCCCAGAGAAGCTGTGGATGCCCCATCCCTGGAGGTGTTCAAGGCCAGGCTGGATGAGGCTTTGAGCAACCTGGTCTAGAGGAAGGTGTCCCTGCCCACGGCAGGGGCTTGGAACTCAATGATCATTAAGGTCCTCTCCAACCCAAACCATTCTATGATTCCATGGACATGGGTTTGGTTTTGTTTAATGGAAACCTGATAAGATTTATAAAATAATCTTCAATTGAGTTTTAATAATTTCTCTTTTTTTGTATCTTCTATAAGTAAAAATTAACCTTCTAGTTTGCAGTTGGCTCTTGAGAGGTGATCTAAAACAGAAACAGCAATTTAATTAAAAATCAGAATGTAACATACTGTTGGAGAGCTATGGTGTTCCTTTACGGGTCAGCTCCATGAAAATCCTCATGGCCTGGCCTTACACTTAAATGTTCTTGCTAGAAATACACCCCTGAAGACACAAATACTCATTTGCAACTTTGCCTGTTAAACATATGTAATGCATTCTGAATTGCAGGTCCCACTACTGTGAAGAGCCCAAAGTACCCAGGCTGGCTTTGGCAAAATACACTGATTTTCACAACACATCTTCATTGAGTTGCAAGATGAAGATGCCTGTCACTCCATCCAGCATGTTTTGAGAGGGGGGGAAATGATGGACTTTTACTCATACTGCCAAGTAATTAGAAGCAGTTCTGAGGGCTGGGGATAGGTGCAGGAGAGGTAAGGTATTTTGGAAGTTAGCCTGAGCAGGCTGAAGGCAGAGAGACTAGGAGCAGGGGCATTGCAGTCTTGGAGGAACCGCAGCAAGGGATAAACCAGTAGAAACTAGAAATACTTTTCAGCAGCTGGTTCAGGAAGGTGCAGACCCAGCTCTGAGGTTACTGGACCTTATGATGCCCCCACCAGTACTGGCTGGGGTGGCAAGCACTGGTATTTCACAAAATGCATTCAAAACAAGAGGCTACAGAGCATCCAAGCTCCAAGAGCCCACTGCAAAGCTAGGAAGCACAACAGCATAACTGAACTTGTTCATTTTCCTCCCTGTCTGTCTGTTGGCACAATTTACGCTTTCTGTTGGCTCCTCTCTCCTGCAATCATTACAAATTTTGTCTCAGCCATGGGATTGCTTGTGGGATCTCAAGGGAAAACCTGGAGCCCTTCGGCTTCCCATCTCATTTTCTACCCCCAGGCTGCTGGAGCCCTTGTGAACAGTGAAGGCTCGGTGGAGCAGGGCTTGTGCAGTTTGACTGAAAGTCTGCATAGGCACTTCATCCTTATGCACATTTGTCTGCTAAAGAAGATCATCCAGACTATTTTAAATAAAATCAAGCTCTTTTTTTCACCTAACAGGCCTCTTCTGCCAAGACTGCTTAAATGTGGAGACTTTTCCCTCTGCTTTAATTTTGCATGTCTTTCCTCATTTTAATTAAAACACATTTAAACTCTATGTTCTTTTTTTTTTTTTTTTTTTTTTTTTTTTTCCCCCAAGGACAGAAACATCTCTTTTCACTGTTTACCCAGGTTTCTGCTTCTGCTGTAGGGTGTCATATCCTAAAGCTGTCAGACCACAGCTGATGGAGTATTGAAAGTTGTTCATGTCCATGATAGCTAATACAAAAAGAAATGCTCTTCCCCACTAACAACGGCACTGAGAGAACTCCCTTGCAATTTTTAGGGCTGTCTCTTTTTCTGGTACTGGTCGGGTTTTCCTTTAGAAGGAGAGTGAAGAATGACAGTTCAAAGTTACAGCCAGATTTCTGATATTTGTATGCAGTTTGCTGCTCTGTCTGTCTCATATATGTTCTCCACACTGACACAAATCTACATTCTGGCAGTTCAAATGCTTGTAAAGAGGTGGAGATATCACCACACAGAGATTATTTTTTTTCGAAACACCTACCATTTGGTGCAATCTTCTGCAAATAATAATAATATGAGGAATATGTTCACTCATAAAATGCCTTTACTGGCCTTTTTCACCTTCAGCATCTGCTGGTTTTGTCCCTTTTGCCACTGCAGCATGTGCAGAGTAAGTTTCTATTTGCCTTCTTTTTAGAAGCATTTAATGAGTCAAATGATTGCTAACTCAAAAGATCTTTTAATTTGTTACCGTGGCCTTACATATTATAACTAATAGGGAATTTTCTCGTATGCATTGTTCACAATTGCCTGTCTACATGCTTTCATACCTACTTCACTGTTCCAGGCTACACCTCTGCAGAAGCCACCTAGAGGATTACAAATTATAGTCAAAGGATTACAAATTATTGTTGAAGGCTTACAAATTATAGTTAAATACCTGGTGCCATTTTCATAGCCTTCGTAATAAAACTCCGTCCAGGTTATTCTGGAGAAACATTTGCTGAATCATATTAGCCACTAGATTCTTACAGCACAAATATCTAGTGCAAAACTAGTTAATAAACCTTATTTTTTCTTTTTGTCTGTGAACTCTGTGAAACAGATTGGCAGAGACATTGGAAATAGAGGAATTAATCCGACGTTTCCGTGCCAACATTGTCATCAGTGCACCAGAGTCCTTTGAAGAAGAAGAGTGGGCTGAGATTTCAATAGGTGCTCTGCGATTCCAGGTGTGAACTCATCTCCTTTGTCCTAGTCCCAGTCTATCACAAAGAATTTTGACCCCTGAAGACAAAGCAGTTTTTGCAAGGCTTTGACTGGAACATGGGCAGCACAGTTTATGCAGATTAAGTTTATCAAGTATGTGAACAAACCAAGCATGCTGTGACCTGTGGCGAACATGCTTCAATATAATTGAGAGGTTTTGACATATTTCTCCACACCCTTTTTTTAAATTTCGTAATTCATAAAATTTCACACCTCTGTCCAACTGAGCAGAAAAGTAATCACTGTTTTGAGGCAGTTTGCAGCAAATATTTAGCCAGCATGTCACAAGAGAATATTGGTTGCTGTTAAGCATAGTAGTCCAAATGTAACCTTGGATTGCTGCACATCAAACAACTGACTGCCAAAAGACTGGACATGCATACCAGTGTACAATCACTGTCTATTGCCCTCTGTTGTACATATTTTGTCTTAATCTCCATTCAAAACATGTTTCTAAGTCTATACTGTTAAGGTTTTTTCATATGATATACCTCGTATTGTATCTAACAACGTAATGTGCTTTGTACTGTAAGGATAATGCTGAAGAGTTAGACTTTGTTGGCAAATACATTCTTTTGAGAAAAACTTCAACAAAGGATCCATGAAAAAGCTACACATGAAACCGAAGTAAATGATGCACACGTGTTACATGTTCTGTTGGATTTGTCTGGTCTTTAAATATGAAATATGTATTTGAAAATGCATTGTCTAGGATGTGAAGGTGGCTTATTCATTGTCTTCATAGGGATGTTAGTGAAGGTGCGAATAACAGAAGGGCTAAGGTCAGATCTAGAAGCTGTGATGAAAATCACTCCCATTTCTTTCTGGGCAGCATACTGTAAGAAATTGAGAGGCCTTTTTTCAGTAAGGGTGGAAATTATGACTTATCTGCTCTCTTCTTAGGTGTACTTTGATCAGTAAGCTGTAATATGAGTTACAGAAAATGGAGGGAAAATTCCTTTAGGTAGGAGATGAGGACAGAATCCCTGGTGTATAGCTTTTTGGAGGCTGGAATTGCACTAGGAATCTCAGCTCAGGATCTTGTTGTCAAAAGATACTGTAAAAGTGCAGAACAAATGCCATTCCTGTTTCTTGCATTGAAATACTTCAGGCATGCAAGCTGAAAATGAAAAGGCTTGTGCAACTTGCATTGTCTTTTCCAGTCTCTGCTAGGTCCTTATTCAGATACTGATGTAGTAACAGTAGAAATGGTGTTAATGGTACTTGACACCAGGAAAATGGTAGAAGCAGCTGTTGAGCAAAGCAAAGCAGGGAAAATTAGTTCCTTCTCGGTCTTGTTTTCTCATTCTTTTAATAAAATATTAAAGCTATGGAAATAATATGAAAAATCTTAGCACCCTAGTTCAAACAAGAATTAACTTTAAGAACCATGTTCTGTATGATGTTATGGCAGAGGTTCTCATTCTGCCTTCTGACTATATATATACTTGTGAAAATTCACATCTTGCATCCTGATTATCAACAACTGCTATGCCTATAAGAAAGAATGGAGGATATTGTGTATTTCAGGTATACTGAAACAGTGCAAACCAAACCCTGTTAATTTAACTCTGAGAAGATCCTCCTTGGGTTAAATCCTGAGGCGCAAACTTTATTTTTATTCAGTTCCCCCTTGGGCAAGTATCCCTGCCAGCCTGTAGATGAAGTGAAGCCATTAGGAAATACAAATATGTAAATGTTTATGGTTTCTGAGATTCTGTCTCTGGGAAAGTTTTCCTGAAAAAAAAGAGAAAAGGAAAGGGAAGAAGGGAAGGGAAGGGAAGGGAAGGGAAGGGAAGGGAAGGGAAGGGAAGGGAAGGGAAGGGAAGGAAGAGGAAAGGAAAGGAAAGGAAAGGAAAGGAAAGGAAAGGAAAGGAAAGGAAAGGAAAGGAAAGGAAAGGAAAGGAAAGGGAAAAGGTGAATTAAAAAATCAGTGAGACCTTTGCAAGTAGACCCTTTGAAAATGTACCTACATTAGGTGAACAGGCCTGAGCTCCTACATAATTAATGCATGAAAGAACCCAGGAAATGTATGTGAAATATACGTTTTTAAGATATGATGATGGTCAGAAGCTTGTACTGTTCTGTGTTGTACTGCTTTGATATACAGCTGTGAACCTTTTTTAACTGAAATTTCAGGTTGTGGGTCCATGTACCCGATGTCAAATAATCTGCATTGATCAGCAGTCTGGGGAACGAAACAAAGAATTTCTGCAGTCTCTGTCTGCTTCCAGAGGTAGAAAGGTCAGTACAGTACTCCAATATAACTGTGTAGAAAGATGTAGTGACTACATTGCATGCATAGTGAAATATCTGCTGAGAGAATATTTGTGATTAAGTTGTTATGCTAATCTTTACCGTTTGTTTTTTCAGTAAGAAGAGGATGCACTTACAACCCAGATATGACATGGTTTATTTCCATAAAATGCTCAACATGTTTTTTATTTGGAAAATGACTATTATTGTGCATTATTTTTTACTGTGCTTGCTTTTATTCAGTGTGTACTGCTTTACAATGTGTTTATTTTGATCTTAAAAAACACGAGCTGATGTGCTGATGTCATTCAAGAAGAGAAATCTGCAGAAAAATCCAAAAGTGTTTGAAACAATACAGTTAGCTCATAAGACTAAACGTTATTTTTACTCTAAGAAACTACTTATCAGGAAAAAACAAAGCAGATGTGAATATAGTGAAAGTGGAGAGTAACTGATTAAGAAAGTGTCTGGAGAATAAGTGTGAAATACAGGCGTTCACTTGGAGTCCTTCTGCTTCCTAAGGTAGCATTGCTTATTGGAACTGAGAGTCCTCAGACGATGGCTAGACAGTCTGGCATCCCAAAAGCTTCACAAATCTCCTCATAAGTATTTATTTAGCTGAAAATCATTACTCTAAATTGCTTCCTGTTCGTTAGACTTCTGTTGTGAAAGTTCGTTTGCCAATCAGGGCTCGGAATACCAGCCAAACACCATAGCCTGGGCACAGCACAGAGGCAGAGCGATAAAAAATGGGTTGAAAACTGTTCACCCAAACAATACACAAACAAGTTACAAATAATGTATTCTTTGTTTGGAAAAAAATAGTAAATTGATTCGTCTCAGTGACTCATAAAGCAAACAAAGGGCTACATTTTCAACAAATGTTATCCTTGGTGAATAGCTCCACCACTGGTATGGAGTGAGACAGAGAGGGGAGAAGGCAGGAGCTGGCTGTCTGGGCACAGCTGACCTGAGATGACTTAGGTGTGCAGAGCAGGCTCTGGCATCTGGATCACCACAGAACATGTGCCTTTGTGAGATGAGCTCCTGGCCGTGGTGAGTAGCCTGAGGACAAAAGCCATTCTCAGCTAATGGTGAGCCACAGCTGGAACATCTCGGATGCTTTAGAGCATGTTCTGGCACTCTGGGCAGGGATGCAGCCCAGCTGCTGTATGGGATGTGGTATGTGGAGGACTTTTTCTGCCCATGTGGGTTTTACTGGATTAGGACTTGAATCCTTTGTAGAGAGAAAGCATTCTGTATTCAGGGATCTTTTCAAATGGCAACTAAACCTTACCCGGGACACAGATTCTCAGGAGAGGCAAAGCATCTTATGCATGTTTCCCGCAGCAAAGATGAGCTTCTCTTTCATTCTGATTAGCTCATCAATGGAAAGGTTTTCTTGATACAAGCACTCCTAGCACCAAGTAACTCATTCAAACAGAATTAAGGCAAAGAGAGCAATCCAGCCTCTTGAGAACAACCTGGCACCAGATAAAAGTGGCATGGCAAGGCGAGGCGCTGCATAGCACAGTGCTGCTATTCACAGGAGGGAAGCTCTGCTTCCCTCGGCTGCGCAACGATATTCATGCTGCAAAGAACCAGGCCTTCAGCTTTTTTCATTTTTCCCAGACTTCAGCGCTGCTGGCAGATGGGATCTTGTGAGCATGACCTGCTCTGCTTAAGGCCAAGTCCTGTGCGTTAGCTTGACAGCTGAAAGAGACAGTTTGAATTGGTAGTTTCGCTTGAACTGGTCTGAACGGACCTCGGAGCCCATCCCTCCTGCAAGTCATCTGTGGGGTGATGGTTGCCAGCTGATTGTCAGTCAGTAGCTCCCAAGGAATACGGTATCTTCAGTGTGCTAAGCAGACCTAACAGAGGACATTGATCCAAACCTTTCACAGTTCACAGTGGGGAGACAGAAAGAACATCGAGTTCATGTGACTGTGTTAAATTGCAGAGCTAATCCTTTAGTGACTCATGGCTCTAGCATGCACTTTTCTGTTGGGGAGTCAAGACTTCATGTTCTTTTTTTATCAGATACAGCTTCAGTGAAGGAATGTAGCAGTGTTTGTTCCCTCCTGTCAATAATGCGATTCAAACTACAAAAAACAAATGCAGCAAAATAAGATTTAAGCTAATTTCCCACTACAAGGGGAACCGATATGTTTGAAAGGCTGTTGTAGTTGTTCTGTTTCCAAAACGTTAAAGATACTGTACGTACAAATGGATAGCAAACCTGAATGCCTAATAAGAGAGCCAGATGTCAATATTCACTATTTTCTTTTGTTTATGCAAGAACACCAACCTGGAAAAATATATATCAAAGTTTATTAGACTGGTAGCCCAAATGGCAGCACTGACAATTAACTTCAATAATGAGCTAAGTAAAGTAAGGCTTGTAAGAGGTGGTTCAGTATATATTTCTGAAATCATATTTGTCTTGATCCCTCTGAGAACCTGGTGCTCCAGGTTGAAAGACTGAGGCTTTCCATAGATGGATTACAGCTGAAAGTCAGAACCAGCTACTGTCATTAGCCACACAAGCTATTTGCATGTTTCCTGATAAATGTAAAGCAGGGTGCTGAAGCCTAGCCAGCTACTTTTTATGAAACCTTTTATCACATTGTTTGAAATAAAATTCAAAAGCCTCTACAAAGCGAACTTGAGCTCTGCTGCCAACAGTTTGGATGAAACACTCTTTAAGGATTCCTTCTGTAATTTTTGACTGAAAAGGATAAATGAGCTATCCTTCTGTGACAGAGATCTCTCTGTTACTGTAGGAGACTACGAAAGACTAGATAACTACATTAAGCAAATAGCAGAAAAATAGCCACACACTGTTTCATATGCATCACCACCTGATGCAAAACACACATAGACAGAAAAGAGAGAACATGGAATTCTTGCCCATCTTCTGTATTTGGCAGATGCCGTTTTAACACCAACAAGAGCAAAAGCCCTGTGGGTAGATTTGCAGCAGTGCTATAAGCTGGGACTTGCTGTCAAGGTAGCAAGAGGAATAGCATTAGCAGTCTGCCCCAGCATAAAGGTATGGATAGCGGCACATCAAGGGAAATCCATTGTGTTTGCACATGCCCTCATACACTGAAAGGCTTGTGTTTTTTCCTGCAGGCTGTTGATCCTCCTTTATCTATCTCATTGTGTCTTGGGAGAGCTTCTTTCCCTGCAGAACTAGACTCTCTGCCTTTGACTGCTTACTGAAACGTTAGAAGGGTAGCAAATGACTCCTCTTATCTGATGCATCATTATCATAATTTTCATAGTAATGCAGGGCTTTACACTATGCAACACTTTTCATCCAAAGATCTGGAACATTTGCAAACAGTGATTGATGTACTTAATAGACCTCAGAAATAATAAAGTTCTCCTTTCTCCTTGGTGGCTGAACTGGGAAATGCATTTCTTTAAGGTAGAGAGCAAAGGAAAATTCGTTCTTAGTAAAACATTCTGCTGTCCCAATATTTTGAACAAAACAAGATGGGGCTTTTTGACACCAAGTTAAAATCTGCCCTTTTTTACAGTATGAAAAATCTGCATGTTGAAAGTGAGTACTTCTGCTTTCCTATTTTGTAAGGCTTTACTAATAAGTGTTGGTGAATCCAGACCTAATAAAAAATTCTTACATAAAAAAAATCTATTCGGCTTTAATAATGGTATCTCCCAAGCCTTTGTGTGGGAAGGAGTTTATGTTATTATATGAGCAAAACAAGCAGAAGTGATCAGGTGAATTTATCTGTTGAGAGCAGACAGCTGAGAGCTACATCCAGGGGCAAAATCCATAACTTATCCATCCTAAGGTAAGTTTTAGCATGCAGTATCACTTATGTGCTTGTTATGCATTTTAGCAGGGCATTTTGCCTACCAAGTGCTACTCTGAACTGATGGTTTAGGAGCTGTATCTTGAAGGCATTTCATCTCAGCCCTTGTCAGATACAGCACCTCAGATTTCTATCTTACAAAAGGAGATACTGCACCCAGGATATTTCTGTCAGTGAATATCTAAGCAGTGCATATTACTGTTGACCCTGTGAATGTACTTGAAACAACAAGCAAGAATGACACCATTTTATAGCTCCTTCTTTAAATGAGTGTGATGACTATCATATGATTCACTGTTGGCAAGAATAAGTATGTTTTATCTGTTTCTCCTAGCAGTGAAATGTTGTGCTTTTTACTGATGAACAAGCTTCTCATTTTTGTCCCTGTGAAGTTTAACAGTGAGGGGAAGAGCTCCTACTACCATCAGAAGACCGAGCGGATGCAATCACAGAAGTCACTGTCCAGTTCTTGCTGTGTATTGGGGAGGTTATATGGAGAGTAAAATGCCCTTGAAGTCAGGAACGGGTAGCAACAGCAGAGAGAAATTATGCAGCTCACTGTAGTAACTCTGCAGGCTGTACTCTCTGCCTCTGAAAGCCTCATCTCATTTTTCAACAGTGAAATGTGAGAAGGGCCAGTTTCTACATTTTCTCTTTCTCTTGAAAGAGCTGAAATGGCAGGATGCACAGTGTTTGTCATTACTTGGGGGCTTGTTATTATCAGTATTTTCTGAGTCAATATTTGTAATTACTGAAAAAAACAAGGAAATCTACTTAAAAGATATTAAATCCACTTCCGGTAATCACAAGCTAAATTGTGGTTTTAAGAACATTCACAAAAGAAAGAGGTCAGCAATTCCAAGCAGGTATTTATACTAAAAGTTGTCTACCATCAGTATATCATCACCTTGAAAACTCCTTAGGCATCACCCAGTCTCAGCACTGAAAAAAAATACAGTGTGACTTTAGATACCCAGAGCAGGGGAAAATACTAAGGACCAGTATTCAAGCAGTATTTGAGAACTCTGGAAGATGCCTTTTCTTAATTCTGAAAGGTGTAAAGATCTTCAAGAAAAAAAAACTTGCTAAATGATTCACAACAATAGAAAAATTGGTAAATTAAATTCTCCACAATGAACAATCTGCCCAGATTTATTTTGGTCTTGTTTTAAGACAAATCAAGATGTCAATACAGTAAATACAGTGTCTGTTCACACAGATGAGTTATAAAATTCCTTTCTGTGTGAAATGTGGTGTAGCATGGACCACTATTCATTTTACATTATTTGTTTTATGATTGCCTGATTTTTTAAAACAACAAAATTGTGGCAACTGTCATATTTGCATTAAGGTATAGGAAGTAAATCCAGCTTATTAACCACAAGGCTGAAAACAACATCATTTATGCCAATAGAGAAACCACAGCTTGTCAAAAAGGACTAGAAAATCAAGAATGGGGAAATAATAGTATTTACTTTAATATTTTAAATGAAACAGTTACTAACATACCATTTTATTATCATGTTTGATCCAACACAGTCACTATGCAAGTGGACTGGAATCTTAACTGTGCTGCAGTCCTTCCTCAGCATTAAATATTAGAGCACTGGCCATAATGATCTACCCCGCATCCACCAGTGTTGACACCATTATGGTCACAGGTATCCAAAAAGTGTCAGTAATATGGCAGACTTGATCAGGTCCAACTCATGCCCCATATATGTGAAATGCCAGTGAGATGAAGGAATAGCAGAAGTAGCAAAAAAAAAAAAAAGCTCTCCTTGGGAGCTCTTTTTCTTTTTAATGTTTAGGATTACAAATGAAACAGAAAGACCCAAAATCCGAGTCTGAGGCCCTGTTTGGATGGATCTTTCTTACTTGGGAATAGGTCTCAGCCTTACATCTCAGTAATTCTTCAAAGACTAAAAGCGGTTTTGTGTTATCTCATTACTGTATATTTATTTAATTATACAGTGCAAGAACAGGAGAAAACATACTGCCTTTATATTTAGTCTGTCAAATATGCTCCCTTAAATTCAGCTAATGCTAGTTTTTTATTTTATTGCAATTGCTTTTAACTGTGTGTTTTCCTAAACCTGCTGTAAATGTAATTCCCTCAGTTTCAGGATCATCGATCTGAACAGTGTCAGTAAATAAAATCAGGAAATGGAAAAGGAGAGTAGAGTTTTGTATTTAAAATTTATTTTTTCAGAAATACCAAATTAATTTCATGTGCTTATTTATTTATTTATTTTACACTTTTGAGTGATTGATAGATTTTGGCTGTAGCCTACCAAAACAAAATACTTTTTTATTGAAAACTGTAAAAAAAGACAAGAAAATTAGTGTTAGGTTTCCAAGATCCTGAGTTTGAAGAATAAAGACATTCCAAAGTCTGCAAATCAATTATCAATTTAAGATGGCCTTCTGCATTTATTTTTTATTTTATGCATTACTTTAATTAGCTATTGTCTAATCATTTGGAAAATATTATCATGAGACTGCAAATCTGTTTCTTGCACATTTCTAAATTCTCCACTGTTAGAAAACAGAACCACAAAAACATACCAGTGTCTTACCGTGATGTTTCCAGATCACACTTGGCTGTTCACTGCTACGGCTGTAACATTCAACGTGCTGTAGATCAAGACCACACATAAGAGTGCAGACACTCAGATCAGGTTTTCAGTGCCTGTTAGGATTGTACGGTCAGTGGGTGAAGTGGTTATTCTGTTCCTCTTTTCTTTATTATTCAGTATCACATGGAAACATATCTAGGTATTTTTTATATTTATGTAGGACAACTTCACATGTAATGACAGATAACAAGTGGTAGTCCTAATAAAACAAACTTTCTGAGTATTTTCTGTAAAATATACTAAAATATTAATTAAAACAAATGAAGGGAAATGCACAAAGGCAAGACAGAACAAAGCTCTGTTAACAAAGCGAATAATTTGTTGCAGAAAATGCAAGACTTTCCCTCACTGTTTGAACATACATGCATTCTCATGCTGCCTAGCCTTTATTTGTGATCATGCATTAACTGTATTTGTCAAGAAGCCAGAACAGTCATTAAATGACAAGACTGTGAGGGAGTGTAAATTACATGTATGATACTATGGAACTCATGATGACATACTATGTTATTTATCCACTTACTTAAGGTATTCTTCTTGAATAGGATGGGGTTAGCTTTTGTTTACCAGTCTATTACAGTTAATTAGTTAAAAGTGTTCTTAATTATATGGAGATTGTCCATACCTCCTTATTCTTAAAGCAATGTTGTTTTTCTAAACATATCTGGGTTGTGAGATCCTCTGTAGATCTGACTACCTTAACATCAGTTGTGTCTCAATAAATATTTTGCTTTTTTTCAGACAAACTTTGGCGTATACCTGATGAACCAGCCCTTGCACTCAGCCTTGCCAGATATTTTATCAGTTGGGTCTCAAATACTTCCAGTGCTGAAGGAGAATACAGAAATTCAGCCTCCGACATCCAGCAAAGAAAAATGTTCAGGATAGATTCCCTGGTGGAGACGAGATTTATATGCAACTACAGGGAAAAGTCAGTAGTCAGTGAATCAAAAGAAGAAAAAGCTTCCACTCATTTGCTTCTGGTTTAAGTCTTCTAATTTTCTGTTTGCTGTAAATGTTATCAGATGGCAGAACCCTTGATAATTACAGCTCGCCTACATGTTTTTGCTTGTGATTAGGTTACAGCAGCCATAACTCTGTTTTGCTCAATTGCTTCAGGATGCAACAGGTTTGATCAGGTTTTACGGGTGGATGACTCCCAAAACAAGCCCAAGAAACCCACATCTCAATGAAGGAAAGTAAACACCACAATAGACTACTTCCTTATGTTGCTTTGTTAAAACCACAATTGGGAGAGAGGATGCAGGATGTATTTTAGAAACAATGTGGGTGAGAAGGGAACAGTGGGAGAGCGGCATGAGAGTAGCAGTCCATTCAGCTTTTCAAAAACTAACTGAAGGTGACATGTAGACAGTCTGAAAGCACCAGAGAAGAGGGAACTATAATTGAGAAACCTGTGTCTCCATCTTCAGAACTGGTGTGTGAGGATGCCAAAACAGCACAAAGATCAATAAAGATTCAGTATGCTGTGCACAAAACACATTCCCTGTGCAGCAATTTCATCCATTTGTTCTGAACTTCTTTCTCTCGTTCCCATTTGCTACTTTTCCATCTGATTTATTTTTTGTGATGACTTCCCACACACTTTTTTCTTTACATTGGTTGTTTTTTCTTTACATTTTCTTTACAATGTGGCTGTTGACACATTTTTTTCTAATTAGAGGTTTTTCAACTAATACAGTCATGTTTTCAATTCAAAATTTGTTTATCCTCAGCAGTATCCAATGGCCACTTAAGGGAACTCTTGAAATTTTGTATGCTTTTCTGTCCGAAAAAGGTCAAAGTATTCTTTTTCCTTACTCTTTGTGCCTTTGATAATGTCCTTCTTAGTTCTTTACTCTCCTAAATATGACTCAGACTTTCTAGTTTCTGAGAGCAAATGTCTGAAAACTAGGACTTAGTCTGAAATATAAATTGTTGTGAAAGTTAAAATATTAAATAAAGCAAGACACACAGAAAAAAAAAAAAATCCCATGGAAAGTCAATGTAATGCAAAACTGAACACACTGAGGCCAGGTGTTTTGTGACCCCAACGTGTGTCCAGCCAGCCACAGGGCAATTTCATGCTTCCAGGAAGTCCTTCTGGAAAGGGAAATTCTCCTGGATTGGCTGCTCTATTGTCATTTGGAAAGTTAAAATTTGACCCCGTTAAAAGCACTGTCAGAACTCTCATCCAGCATGATTTAGGTCTTCCTTGGGGCAACTTTGGCTCAAACTGTGTGAAAGTGCTTCTGGCTGAAGCAATCCTTGAGTTGTTTGAGTATATCCCTGGAGGGGAGCAGGCGGCTTTGTGAAAGAACTGGTCAAATAGTCATTCTGAAAGGGGAGCTACAGAGCAGCATAAAATGGGAAAAGGGAAGAGCATTGCCCAGTGTGCGAATCAGAATTCAAGGATGGGCTTTTTTTTTTTTTAAACTGGTTTCCTCTTTTTCTGTTGCTCTTTTGAAGAACTGGTTTTACTCACTTCAGCTGAAACAGACTCTTATTAGCGTCTCAGCAGAGCTTTGTAATGGAAATGAGAAGAAACATTATCTGTTTCTTACAAGCTGCCATAAAATACATGGAAAGAGAAAGGTGTTTCGTATCTATGTAAGCTGAGGATCAGTTTTGAGAGTTGTACCTTCCACTTCAGAGCCCAAGCACTGCTCCTGGATGTCTGCTTTGAAAAGCAGGGGGTTTATCTATCTAACAGTCAATTATCTGATGTTGTAATGAGCAGCCTTTTTTGAACCTTGAAAAGCAGTTTCTTGGTATCTGAATCTCTTCACTGTTTCACTCTTTGCCTTTCTACGCAGAACATTGTTTTGTTGGATAGAAAGCCAGCAGAGCTCTGGCAAATGTAATATGAAGAGACCTGACACATGCTGACCTTCAGGTGATCTCTGGTGCTTTCCTCTGTCCTCTTCACCTCACCAGTATGTCATTTGTTTAAATGGCACAGAAGTTAGAAAAGGAAATTGAAAGCAAACCTCAGCAAGCTCTGTTTCACTTGTTATTGGAATTACTACAAAATAAGTCACTTTGGTACACAGTGGCTTGAGAAATACTGTTTGTGAATAGCCTTAATGCAATGTATGATAACTAAGGATGAGAGGATTTGAACTTTAAAAATGTCGTGCTTGGTCATTTTGACCTATTATTTACAGACAATTACACTTTCTCTCTGCTGTGGCTTAGTAATATTAAATCAAGAATAATTTTGTCATTTTACAGGAGGGGGGAAAGAATTTCTCTGATGTATGAACATACTCATTAGTATATTCTGTGCATTTCCCAGAAGGAACATCCTTGCACTACAGTGATAGGAAATGTCACAACGCTTCAGATTAATGGAAGAGACATAAGGAATCTTTCATCTCAACAAAAGATAATATTTCCCATCTAGTAAGTGGAGTGTTCCCAACAGTATTGAGATGTCTTCCCATCAATGAAGACAAATTCTCAGTGCCAATACTCTGTGGAAAATCTTGAAGTAGGAAGAGTCATTTTTAAATTACATGCACTGTAAGTTTGTAGAAAGAACATCCTCCCATAATGTGAAAAAAAAATAAAATAAAGAAAAAAAACTTGGCATAATGCAAACCCAGGTACTGTGGGGACAAAAAGGGCATAAACACTTCAAAACACTGTATATTACATAGAAAAATTAAATGTTCCATAAATTAAATGTTCCATAAGGGGGTGACTTCTCAATCTTCAGAGTATATAGAAAGAAAACAGTTTCACATGAAGGCAGACTCTTTCATCTAAGTGCGCCCATTGCTGCAAAACTAAATCTTTGGACTAATTGCAGATATATATATGTACTTTCTATGGATAAGAAATGTACTTAATATATTATTTCCAGAGTGTTGTATGTAGGAAGTAAGTCCTCTATATATTTGAATACTAAGTCTGTATTTCCTTACAATGAATTTTTCAGAGGCATTCCATTTTCTGTGGAACTTAACTCCTTCTCACATCTCAAGGCAAAAATGATTATTATTACAAGCTCTAATAATAGCCAGGAGGCTGAAATCATACAGCAGAAATCAGTATTTTTAGGAGAACTCTGAAGTGTGAACTCTGTGTTCTATGATAAGATTTAAGATATTTCAGGTACAGTTTATGATTTATACTTTCAATGGCATCCTTCAAAATATGGTCAAAATTTTAGGTGACTCTTCTGTCAAAATTATACACAAATCAAAAGGGAGGATAGCATGAAGAGCGTGATTGTTGTTCATAAATTACAGAGATTATGCTATGCATTTTTCTTCAGTCTGGTTTTTAACATCCTTGGAAATTAAACCAATGAAATATATATTGTGTTTGATGTGTCTAATGGTGATGCTTGCATTCTTGACCTTTGAGCTCATGAGATGCTAAGTTCTGCTTGGAGGCATTGCCGGACTCATGGGGAGAGTATGAGGCTCAGGACTGAAGGGATGGCTCATTGCTGCTGGGTTTCACAGGTGAGGTGTTCCTCCAGCTATTGTACTGATGGCCTCCATCTGTCTAGTCCACATGCCAAGGAGTTGAACACTCGGCTCAGGCCCAGCACAAAATGCACTAATAATCACTGGTTTCCTTTAAAACTTGTCCAGCAGCAGTCCTGTTGGAGCCATCTCTGTTATCCAGAGGTTGGAACTCTCACCAAGGGTGCTGGAGAAGAGAAGGTTCCTTTCCTTCTCCTTTGCCTGGAGGGATTCAACACCGTCTTTCTCTGCTGCCTAACACATCAGTCAGGAGGCAAGACTGGGGACTTAACTGGACTGGGTATGTGTGGGAATCACAGGGAAGGCTTGTCCCTCCCTTCTCATGAGTTTTACACAGGATCTGTGTTCCACTGGGCCAGAGGAGAGAGACATGTGCACAGCGAGGCAGCAAGGCACGTAACTCTGAGCTACTCAATCACCCTCTTCTGGATTCACTGAAGGTGGAAGGGGAAGAAGAGCGTGACTCTGTAACCCAACAGGTAGGTCACTCCTATGGAAATGAAAGATGTGGGCACATCCCTGTCCCTCTGATTATACAGCTGTCACGAGGCAGCTACTTAGACGAAACACAGACACAGCCCCCAGAGAAGGGAGGAGAACACGAGCGCTCCTCTTCTGCTGGGCGTGTGAGCCAGTGGGTGACTGATGCTTCTGTCCTTCCTCTGGCCACCAGCACTTAAGTACAAGCTGGAACTTCAGCAAGAATAGACTAGAATGCGCCAGGAGTGTTTTGGAATAGGCCATTATGGGAAATACCAGTTTGAGTCCTCAAAAGCAGAAATGGAAATGATCCCACATTTCTGACTTCTTGCTAGGTGCACCAGCTGCAGCGCCAGAGCAAAAGGAAAAAAATGTGGGAGAGGAAAAAAGTAGAAACTCCTACAGTCAAATTTTAAAAGAAAGTAGGGATATCCATGCCTTCACCACCCAGTTTGTAATTTTTTTAGGGAAAAAAGGACATAGGTATCCTCAGGCCCATAAATCAGATTCAGAGAACTCGGAGTAAGTCATCAACAGAAAGGTGCCTCTTAAGCAAGGTGCAGTTTAAGAGGCCCCCTTCCCTCCCTTTTATGTCAACTAGCTTACTTTGCTGCTCACTCAGCGTGATGGCAATTGTGGGTCCCGTCCCGTGGAAAAGAAAATAGGCAGGTGCCTTGCATAAGGAGCCAAGTGACTTGCCTAGGACCGCAGACAGGGAGAGAATTTAAGGAGGTTTGAATTTGGGGCATCCTTGAGCATCACTGTCATGTGCAGATGGACAGTGGAAACCTCTGTGTAATAATCCCAGAAATACGTGTTGCAGAACAAGTTAGCAATTTTTCTGCTTGCTCTGTGAAGTCATCCTGGAAGGGCCATATTCAAGAATTGTGTGCTGTTGGAGAACAGACA